AAAAAAAAAAAAAAAAAAAAAGAGTCTCCTCCAGTATATATAATATAGATATATACAGGGTTGTCAGGCGGAATGTACGGAGGCCCCTAAGCTGACCCCCGAACGTTCGGGCATTCGGGTCGGACTCCCCTTACGGGGCCCGAACCTGAAGGGGTTCGGACCCCGCAAAAGAAAATGTTGGCACCTAAATATTATTATTGTTTTCTGAATTTTGTTTTGTGATGTAAGGTATCTCAATCTTAATTTTGAAGCCATTCTGCTCAGCCAAAAAAAAAAGAAAAATTGGCAAAGATGGTGGTGTCAAAACTTGCTTGCCTACTCACCAATTTCCTTTTTCTCTCTTTTCACTTTTTGTTTTTTCTTTATTTCGGGGCATTAAAAAAATTATTAGTTTTTTCAACTTTGTCCGTAGATTCTCTATTATATACGATACACATATACAAATTTTCATGGTATTTGTCGCAGCCAAAAAAAAAAGAAAAATCGCCAAAGATGGCGGTGTCAAAAACTTGCTGGAGAGGACGAACCGCGTAGCGGCGCCGTAGTGCTCAACACCGGTGCGCTTGCAAGTCTAGGGTTTCACCATCGCGGATCTTGCCCGCCATACCCCGGAGCGTGTAGCACGGGGGAGGCGGCTCCCTTAGCGGTCTACTCATCAGTAGTGGAGCATAAGGGAGATGGGCTTGTCCTTGGGGTAGGGGAGGAAAGGAGGAGAAGTTGGGACTCGGGAGCGTGGAGTTCTGTCTTGCCAGCTGGTTAACGATAGTCAGAATATTTTGAACACTTGGAGCTGAAGAATGCTGGTGAGCAGCTTCCTTCCCATGGAGTATGCCATAACAACAAGTGCAGAGCCACAAGGATCCTGTGCTTATACAGGTTTATTCAGGATAAGTGTAGCCTACACCCGCGCCCCAGTGCTGTCGTGCAGAGCATACTAGTGTACGCAGATAACGGCCCAGCCTAATGATCCGAAGGGAGAGAGAGTTACACATGTAGCGCCCCTTCACGTAGCAAGGGACTACTTCGCTGGTACGGAGTAGATGGTGAGAAAAGGAGATGAGCCGATGAACGCTATCGGGCCGTTGGTATAAGGCAGACAACGCCCGGATTTGGAAGAAGCCGGGTGAACGAGTAGTCGCTGGCTACGCTCAAGCATTCCAAGTAGGGGAATCAAAGGGGGAAAAGGAACAAGAGGCTTTGGATGCAAGGAAGCTGCTGAAACGTTCCCGTGTGGGAAGGAGAGACGCGAAGCACTATTCAGACAAGTGAGAGAGTGGGAGAGGGAAGTCTGCCATTTGCTATTATAGTATAGGCAGCGGTATGTAGTGGGTTTCTTGTGTAGTGTTCCGACGGCTGAGTTGGACAAGGGCAGTGTGTTGGACTACCCCTGAGGAGAGGGGAGTAAGTGGAGACGGCCAGCCTGCGGGTGTAAGCTAGCAGGGAGAGTCGATGCTTCGGCTGCAAAAACCTCGAGATTCCTTGCGACGCTAGGTGCCTCCTCCATTGGACCTAGAAGCGGCAGCTGCAAGAACGAACGTCAGAGTTGGCGACAATGAGGAACATTCGTCAGGAACCATTCCTCGGAACAGCAGGGCGCTCTTGCAGCTTAAGGATATCTCGACGAAACAGTGGCGGGATTCTGTGGAGTTGAACGTGCGGTGCTTGAGCTGTGCGTGTTTACTAGGATGGGTCTGTGTGATAGGGCAGTGCCATCGGCCTCAAAAAGGGGATGGTAAGGTATTCAGAGCGAATGATCTGAGGAACAGATGGGATAATACTCACAGTTCAGGGGGATACAATCACGATAACGAGGATGATGATGATATTAATGATGATGTGAATGATGATGATGACGACAGTAGTGATAGGACTCTCTGGAATCAGAAGACCGGGGATGGTGATAATGATGGTGATAATGATCCATTGGAATCATCTCAGAACGGTGAATCAGATGGTGATGATGATGATGATGATGATGATGATGATGATGATGATGATGACGATGATGATGATGGTGGTGATGATGATGATGATGATGATGATGATGAAGAGGACACTGGTGACATGAATTGTTGGAATCAGAAGACCGGGGATGAAGAAAGGGATCTGGATGGTGCAGTCTGCTGGGATAAGAGGAGGAGCGGAGACAAGAGAGGGGGAATTCAAAGATTCCGATGACATGAACGGCAGTCAGCAGCAGGAGGGTGAGGACCACAGTGTTGAAAAAGCTCATAATCGGCAGGGGAGGAGATGGGATTGGAGAGTTCCTTGGTGCTGAGAGAGAATGTTGTTTGTGTGTGTGTGTGTGTGTGTGTGTGTGTGTGTGTGTGTGTGTGTGTGTGTGTGNGAGAGAGAGAGAGAGAGAGAGAGAGAGAGAGAGAGAGAGAGAGAGAGAGAGAGAGAGAGAGAGAGAGAGTTCATTGGATAATCATTGAGTCATTGAACAGAGGGATCATTGAACCTTCGCTGAGGGGTCACAGTCTCTCAGACGGCTTACGGTGAAGAGGTCGCATTTTTTGCTGTTAGCGCAGAGAGTTTCTGAACTTCGAGAATTTACCTGATGATTTATCCATTGGAAGGGGCGCTGGACCCGGTTTCCAGCAGGTGCAGCTCCCCACCAATAGAAAGGAGCCATCGGAACCTCGCTGACTTCTACCCTCTGGGGCTCTTACAACCCAACGGGTTGAGGACCTGGCCCTGAATGATGATTGGAAAAAAAAAAAAAAGGTGCTCACCCACTCAATAATTTCATTCTCGTTTTTTTTTTTTCTAATTTTCATTATCATTATTTATTTTTAGTATTTGATTTTTGTTTCAAATTTGGTAAAGAATTTAGATGTAAGTTCATGTACCGTTGAGGCAAATGTTGTTCAGGTTTTTCTTCTGCTTTTTTTTTTTTTTTTTTTTTTTTTTTTGGGTTCGCGTTCGGCCGTTTGGCCAAACGCGTAGAGAGGGGGTGCTGAACGTTCGGGCGATCATATATATATATATATATATATCCTTGAGTGAAACTCTCCTAAGTATACCGTTGCACTGCATGAAGTAGGATACAGGACCTCACAACAGGGGGGAACGGAAATGGACGGTCTTCTTGGCTATGTGCATTGCCCATCCAAAAAAAAAAAAAAAAAAAAAGTAGGAAAAAAACGAAATGAGTGCCTCCCAAGTCTGTCCAAGTGTCCTCCCACCTCTGTGAGATTGTTCCCCCACGTCTGTCAGAGTGCAGTCCCTTGTCTGTCAGAGTGTCCTCCCATGAGGAGGTAATGATGGCTCAACGTCCGTGGAGTTAGCTACCCCACTCCAAGTGGGTAGCTAGCTCAAAGGGAAATGGGCTGGCTAGGCCGCTAGGGTAGGGGGCGGTGTATTCCGGAATCTTTTTTTTTTTTTTTTTTTTTTGAAAATACACAGGTCCTTATGCAATAAAATTCCACTCGAGGCTAGGGATCTCACAATTCTACCCGGTATGTACTGAGGCCATTACCCAACTTCGGCTTTGCTGGAAACCGGGGCCAGCGTCCCAAGGAGAAACTCATTTTGGTCAAACTTAACCTAACCTAAACAGATCTGTAAGCTCAAGGAAACCTGAACCGCCTATATATATATTTGAAAAGTATTGCATTGGTAAGATATCTCCTTTTTTTTTCCTTCTTTTTTTTTTTGAAGAACAGCCCAACAGAGGCTAGGGGTGCTGGTAAGAGCAGACACCACTAGCATCGCCGGGGAGGCTCCATCTATTGGTGGGGAGCAGCAGCTGCTGGAAACCAAGTCCATCATCCCTGAACATTGAACTTACTCATGCAACCAAACATGCAGATGTGACAGCAGCAAGCTAGCAAGCTACCTAGCGACCGTGCTTACCTTTCCGAGTGAGGTTCAGCAAGCAGAGGTACGCAGTGGCCTGAGCAGCCTGCCTATCTGACAGACTGACAGACATTGGTGAGAGATGGTATGCTCCAGTGTCAGTACTGCAGCTAGAAAACAACATGTCTTTGTAATGAAAGTCATTATGATGCCGGTAAACTACCTAATTCACTTACTCAGGAAGAGGTTATGCCAGCATGACGAACACAATATTCTGTGTTGCTAACCTACCTTACAGCCAGTGGAAAGTAATGTAATGGACCTGTATCATGACTGCACGTAGAGGAGGTAGCCTGCATTTGTGACATCAACAGGCTATGGGGCTCATCTACAAAAGGGAATTTTGGCAGGTAGAACTACAGAGCCTTCTAGGCCAGACGCCCACATGCCAACCTGTGGTGAGAGATAGTAAAGGCAGGCCTCCCTTCTGTTCAGGCAGGATGCTGTTATTGTCGTGGCTTTTTTGGCCGACTATTTACAACACAGCATCGCCTGCTGTCCTTTCCTTCAACCAGTGGGTCTGCAGGCTGTCTGTATGCTCAGACCGTACCGGTCCGTACGAACCCATGACCTGCTGCGTTGCTGCTGTTGTCCAAAAAAAACAGTGATTCTCTTAAGTGTAGACAATGAAAAGCAGAAGCCGGGAATTCTTGTCTATAGCCAATGGGAGTGGGTTTACCGACCGCAGAACATAGTCGAGAAACTTATTTTGTGCAGTTTCTCGACTATGTTCTTCTTTAGTAATCCTATAATATTCTTCCTCTTCTGCACACAAGTGTTCTGATCCTGTTTGTTGTTTATATTCATTTCTTATGAAATTGAAAAACGGGCTTTCCAGGGTCACCAGCCCGTACGTACGGAGGTCCCCGGGCAGACCTCCGTACGTATGGGCGTCCGGGGTCCCGTACGGGGTCCGAACCTGACGGCGTTCTACCACCGCCCAAAAATATTTCGGGGCCTAAAAATCATTTTGTTTTTCTGAATTGTTTTCTGTGAGTTCTCTATGACGTGAGGTACATGCCTATAAATTTTCAAGTCATTTGGCTCAGCCAAATGAGAATTAAAATGGCGGTGTCAAAACATGCTCGCCCATATTGTTTTTCACTTTTTACTTTTTGAAGTTTTTGTTTTCACTTGAGTTTGGGGTCTAAACAATTTTATTATTTTTTGAAACGTTTTTAGTAGGTTTTGCATTATGTGAAGTACACATCTGTAAATTTTCAGGGCATTTAGCTATGCCAAACAAAAATGATAAATCGCCAAAGATGGTGGTGTCGAAAACATGCTCGCGCACTCACTAAATTTAATTCTTTTTTTATTTTTTTATATTTGTATTATTAGTATTTTATATATATATATTTTTTTTAATTTCAAATTTGGTAAGGAATTCTGATGAAATGCTCAGGCAAATCTTTTTTACTTTATTTTTCTTCATAACATATCGTTTTTTGGGTCCGCGTTCGGCCCGAACGACCGAACGCATCCCCAAGGGGTCCCATACGTTCGGGCGTTCGGGTTCGGGCGTTATGCCCATCCCGAATGCCAGTTACCCTGGGGCTTTCAATAAATCCATTTTGATTCATATTTGCCATATATTTATATATAAGGACTTGAAGTGGCGGGTCGTGCCATCACCTGGTCCAGGAAATTTTGGAGAAATGGTAAAATATGGTGAGAGTTTTTTCAGATATTCCTATTACCAGCAAAGACCTCTTAGGAGGAGTTTCTTTCATACTTCAAGGGCTGGTAAGGTTTTCCGCGCTGTATTGAATTTAACCACATGCTCCGCCGCTTGTGCAGGCTCCCATCAATCCCTTAGAGTTTCAGCCTTGCGACCATACTCCCCCAGGCGGATTGCTTAACGCATTGTCTATATCTATATCTATATCTATCTATCTATCTATCTATCTATCTATCTATCTATATACAGACCTTTCTTTGTTTCGTGGATGTTTTGCTGGCTTGTGATGGGGTGTGAACCGACAGTCTGTAGAGTTTTCCATCTGGTGTGGGTGAGTGATAGTCTACTTTGATTTTGGTTAAGGTAGATTATCATTTACAGTGTAATCAGTGAGGGGATTCTGCAGACTGTTGAGGGTTCAGCCTCCTGATGAGTCGGTGAAACTCCAACGAAACAGTTTGTCACAGCCCCTCGTTTGTTGTCYTCTTCTCTCTCTCTGCCTACGGTTTACCGGGCAGTTCTGTTTGTGACGTATATATATTCACACTGTGAATCAGAGCGCGAAGGCGAAAAAAAGCAAAACAAGGAAAGGAAAAGAAGTAAGGAAGGAAAGCCCCACCTGTTCATCACCTCTTACGTACAAGGCCAGCCACGTGGATGACAGGTTGAGCGCTGGCTGCCTCCATCCCCATGTGTCACAAGGACCGACTTGCACGCAGCCAAAAGGCAAAGAGGTAAAGAAAAGGAGGAGGAAACCAGACCTTACAGAGGCAAGTGAAAGAGAAAGGTCAAAGAAAAGACAAAGGAAGAAAGCAAATGACACATCCCACAGATAAACCAATTGCCACTGTCACTACTAAGTTCAACATATTGTTTTCTATTTTTCTGTTTTCTTGTTTTCCCTTTTCTTTTTTCTTTTCGCCCGAAATTTGTACTTTTTCTCTTTCTTTCTTTTATCTGTCCTACAATTAGTGTTGCTCTTGATCGCTTAATTCTATTGACTTGTCAGGAAGAGGAGTCCCCACCCCACCCCGGCAGATAGGACAGGCACGCTGAGGATGACGTGGATGTTCACAAGGATACCCAAGGAGAGCTACTTCAGCACAGCATTCAGCAGGACGGCTAGCACGGACCATCCCATCAAACAGTCCTGACAAAGGACATGCTGTCCACATGTCAAAAAAACAGCAGGACGTTCATCACAGGGTGGCATCATGCAGTCCTGATAGCGTCCTTGAGCACAAAAGGGACAGGAAACATCTGGGTGATAGGGATGTGTACAATGAGGAAATGCTGGACACCCTTCAGCGCAGAGGGCGGCGGCTGCAATAGATTGATAATGTTGATGGCATAGGCTGCAATAGACTGATAATGTTGATGGCATAGGTGATGAATTCCGCACGCAGCCAAGAGGCACCGCTTCCCTGTACCGACAGGTGTCACACGAGAGTGGATCAATAACCCAGAATAAAGTATGATTCGGTAATGCACACAGAAATTCATTTATCTTGAAAATTTGAAAATAGCCTGAATCGTTGTCCCACATCCCACACTTCCCACTGGGCCAGCTGCATCGTTGTCCCAATGAGTGCCATATAAGCCTGAATCGTTGTCCCAATGAGTGCCATATAATGCCCGGGTCTGTGCAAAATACAGGCAGAAATATGAGGATGGTCATTAAGGTCATCGCCTCGCG